GTGTACACATTTCAGTGAACCGTTAAAATTAAGGTTATTATTGATTAAATGAGTGCCTAATTTATATAGGGTATTTTATATTTATGTGTATAGTGTACTCCACATGTGTGTTATAATTAAGTTTATAGTATCGGGTGTTCATTAAAAATCAGTTTGAATTTTTTTGTTAGCAAAAAATGAAATAAAATCAAAAACCGATTCAATAGTATTATAATTAAGTAAATTAAATATCAGTAAAATTCAAACAAAAAATACAAAATCAGTTTGAAATTAGATAGAAATTGAAAATTATATAATTTTTTTTATTAATCAATTAACTATCGTATGAAACAAATCGGTGCCAAACAAAATGTAATACAAAACTATTGGTGTATTTAATAGCAAATTACAAATAAAGTGGTATAAAATTTCTGGCAATTATTTGGATTGAAATGTGAGTGAAAATACAATATTTAAAAAAACTCGTTTCCCGTATACTAAAACTATTATTATTAAAAAACATAAGTTATAATTTTCAACACTTTGCCCCTGTATAGTGTACTACTGTATTGTCTAACAAAATATCGTGTTTAACATGTTATAATATCTAGAATTAAATGTGCACTTTTATCGTGACCTCGTTCAATTAAACGGAAATATCATATCAAACCCATTGGCAAAGTATTCATACAAAAAAAAATAAATTACTAGTGAATAAAATACAGGGAAAATAATTTTTCTAAACATTTTTGCATTCATACAATCAAACCTTTCATTACAAACATTAGATTCATATCTCGTAGAAATATATCCGAAATACTAGATGTTTAATACTATCAACTATTATATTACTCTACTATAAACATTATGATAGAAAGTATATAAAACAATGAGCTAATATTGTAAACATGGTACTTCCGACCGGTGCCAACAAAAATACAAAACAATATTGTTAATTTATCAATGAATTATATTATGCGCCTAATATTTCAATGTCTATCATGTGGTAATAAAAGCTGATAATTGTTGTAATCGTATTGTATTTAATAAACAAATATTATAAAAAGCATAATTCAAGGCAAATATCATAGAAACCAATATATTATACATTATATATCAAATATCCGATGAATTCTCGCCCATCGAGTGTAGTGTTTATTATGGAAATTAAGTCTCAAATTTAACCATCATTATATTACTTAAATATTTCTAATGTTATTTAATACTTGTTTAAGTGTTGTGAATAGTGTGTCACACAATCTCATACAATGAACACCTCGTCTACACTCTATTGACATGTATTTATATATCGGGTTTCGTTAAATCTATGGTAAAATAGGATTACTTTATTTATAAGTAGTTTTTGTTGAGCGAAAAAAATAAAATAAAACCTTATTTTACACACAAAATAAATGTTTTGCTTTTATTTCAAACACAAAAATAAAAAATATAAACAAATTTTTTATTTTCAAATTCACTTCAAATGCCGAGACCTTTAATACCATAGATATATTGGGGTATAAATTAAATACATTCACAACGCCTTATATAATCCCCACAAATATTTGCATTGAAATAGCATTGAATAGATAGCATAGTCCCCATCGGTTCGGGGCCTTTATTATACAGTGTATACACTATCGGCCAGACCTCCGAGCGCTTCGCAACTCATACACAAAACCTATTGATAGTCAATGGGTTTTATGTAGTGAAAGGGATGGGAGGGTAGGGCTCTCTCTCTCTCTCTCTCTCTCTCTCTCTCTCTCTCTNGGTAGGGTCTCTCTCTCTCTATCTCTCTCTCTCTCTCTCTCTCTCGAAATATGTAATATTATTTCGAGATTCCAGTCCATACACTAACCTACCGGTGAATGTCGATTAGAGGACAGGTATGCTTATGTATTTGTATGAGTGAGTGAGTGTGAGAGAGCACTGGGAGGTATGCCTGAGCCGTACGAGAAGGTAATGGTAGTGAAGATGAATGGCGTGAAAGAGTAGAAGTGACGGCTCTGTAGTGGTGGGGGAAAAGGTATGGATAGGTATTCACAAAAGCATACCTTTTTAAACGAGGTATGATTTCCTACTGTTCAGAGCAAACACTCTACACATGTATGTATGTGTCGGTGTGTTAGGCACCGGGGGTTGAGGGCTGTGAAGAGGGGGAAGGGGTTGTGGGTCTGACAGGTAGTCATATTTTTTTTCGGGGTAAAGTTAAGCACAATAATTTATATTGTATATTATGTTTGACATTAAGTTATTATATATTGTTGTGTTTGAAAAATACGATTACCTTATTGTCTACGAGAGAGACATAACTCTTATTAAATTACATTACTTCGCAGTCTCTCTCTCTCTCTCTCTCTCTCTCTCTCTCTCTCTCTCCATCACTTTCTGGCACTGGTATGCAATGTCTGAACGATTTATTTTTAATACAGCGTTATATACAGTGGATATTGAGTTTTCTAGATGACATCTCTCTCTCTCTCTCTCTCTCTCTCTCTCTCTCTCTCTCTCCATAGCAAATATGTATTGAATGTCTTATATATAAGAGATGTGCGAAAAAAATCTGTTGACACAAGACATTCATTAATCAAAGCGTTGTATTATTTTTCAATACAACACATTATTATACGAAGAGATCTGTCTATTGTATTATATGCTGTGCCGAGAGATTTAATAGCATAGGATTTCTATGGTTACGACTCGATCTCAAGCCCAGGGATACCGGAGTCCCCGAAGGACTAGCCATAGAGGCCATGGCATCCGTAGGATTTGCTGTACAGTACATAATAAGCAGTACACTATTCACTAGGATTTAGTTTTTAGTTGTTTTTTGTTTTTTAATGGTTTGAAACACAATTATATCGAGAGTTTTGAGAGCGGAATATAAATAAAATATATTTTTCTTATATATAAGTGAAAAACAAACTTAAATTAATTAACATTTAGTTTAGGTTTTGTTTGTTGTTTTGCTTTTGACTTTTTTGATGTGTATTTCAATGAGTGAAAAGTTTTTTGGGCGAAATATAATGCATTTTCTGAACAATTCGTGATTTTTTGGTCCAAAATAACAACAAAATCGTAAGAAATAAATGAATTTAGCGCTCAATCGATAAGAATAAACACGAATTCACTAACAATTTATACATTAAAAAAAGTTTTACGCAAATAATAAATACAAAAACTATAATATTATAATTTAAGTAAATAATAAGCAAATGAGTGCTAAAATTACAAACACGAGTTAGTTTATTAATAAACCATGGTGGGATAAATAATTACAGTAAACCCTTTACGTAGTGAACACCGAAAATAGTAACAAAAAATAAGTTATACGATGTTTACTATGCATATAGTTATGTAACAAATGAGTATATATTTCAAGTCATAAACTAAATAAAAATGTTTGACTTTTTTCGCCGCTATTTTTATCACGAGTTTTGGTTTCGTTTAAGTATTTTTGACGACAAAACACAAAAAAGTGCTGAGACTTTGAAATTTGCTTTTTATTATGTTTTTATAGATATTTTTAAATGCAATCTCTTTTTAAAAGTCACTGATTAACGATAGATACCAAAAGATGTCGAGAGAGAGAGAGAGAGAGAGAGAGAGAGAGAGAGAGAGATTTCAATTGAATTTCATCCATAAAAACATTTTTAAAATCCCATAAAAACATTTTACAACAAAGTGTTTCTAATTATATCCATTAATAAACATCTCTAAACCCCAATTATAAATACATTTCGCTGTACATTATGACCAATAGTGTACAGAAATTTCATCACTAAATAACTTTCAACACTAAACAAAAACATTTCCCAAAACTGTTTTCCCAAAATATTTTTCACACACAATAATCAATTCGCAAACCATTTTCAAGACCACAGGTCTGTGTATAACAATAGGAACTTTAGTGAATAATACATGGTATAAAAGGCTTACCCAAAAAGGCATTCACAATGGACTGGCAATGACTGATTGGGAACGGTATGCAAGGGTTAGATATACACCACACAAATGCAATATTCATTAGAGTTTCGCAGTTATAGACAGGTAATGATGATTAGGTTTGTTTTCACAAAAGCCGACAAATATTATAATAAATATAATATAAAAACAATATAATTATGTCTCGACTTTCAAAACAGTAGTAAAATATAATGATAAACACAATTAACAAGAATTATAAATGATTACTAATTTCCACCATAATGACAATTTTGTCAATGACAATCACATAGACATAGAGTACAGTGTAATGTAAAGTATTGGTTACCAGTACTCTGTATACCCGCCCCCATCTAAACCACCACAATGAATCTCATAAATCACCAACATACAATACACATACACACACACCAGACACACAATACCCACCTAGGTATTTATCACTTACTTCCAGGTATTGATCCACGATAAGTATACGTTTAGAAATTGAATTATACACGTGATGAAATGTTTTATTTTAAAAAGTATTGTCAAAATAGGTGTGAATATAACTTCACCGGTTATACACAACTTGATGAACAGGTTATTGGCTTATCTGTGAAGTGTCTTATGATAGGCACAGACAACACAACTCGAGACAACTCCAAAATTACATGACATTTAAGACAACAGTCCTATTATTAAAACTCAGTCGACAGTCCTTTCACTCGTATGGTTAGAGTATATAATAATATCTGTTATTAAAACAGACTTTAAGACGACTCTTGAAATGGTTATGATTTTTGTCAGCAAAAGTGAAACATTAAATGACATTATGTTTATACAGGACTTGTCGTTATCGGCAGTCGTTTTTATAAAGGGGTTCACTATCTGTATTGTGTACACAAATGAATACACTGTTTGTTGCGCTATCGTTAGTAAGATCAAAGTCTCTCTCTCTCTCTCTCTCTCTCTCTCATCTATTTTCAACATTTTAGATGCTCTCTCTCTCTCTCTCTCTCTCTCTCTCTCTCGGCTATGAATAGCATTTTTACTGATCAAAAGCCATACCATATATACAGTACCAACAAATGTATCGTCAGAGCAAACAAGACATTTAATGACTGCTAAATAGATGTTTATAATGGACTCAATGCACGACATATACCACGACAACCAGTGCCGGCCGGACAGGGGTTGACCAACCGATAGGTGATCGATGGTTTTAGTGGAGAGATATGGATCGTATAAACAGTTGGTAAAAATTAATAACAAAGTTTTGATATACTGTACGTTACGACAATTATAGTGAATGTTATGGCTATTACTGAGGTATCTATTGATGGCAATTGAATAAAACATTTGGCAACACTAGCGTTAACGGTATGACAGGCCATAAATACCCCGAACCAATACATATAACTTATATATACAGGGATACAATTGGCTGGCATCAAATTGATCATCATGTTTGATAAATACGAGTTAAAACACAATTGATTTGAGCGCTTATTATAAGCACACATACAATAAAACGGCGATTCATTAGGTTTTTTGTGTTATACAATGTTTCGCATCAATACTTTTCCCAGTATTTCCACTATTCTTACAATTCTTCGGATAATTATCGATCGAAACATGATTTTTGTCATTAGATTATTGTTTTGCTGTCTTCTCTCTCTCTCTCTCTCTCTCTCTCTCTCTATGCGATTAGTAGAGAAATAAATGCAAACGAGTTATGCGTTTATTTGATATAATATTACATTTTAGTCGTGAAATATAAGGAGAGAGAGAGAGAGAGAGAGAGAGAGCTATAGTTATCGTATATAAGATTTAACGAGAGATTTATTGCCGCATAAACTGGTCGTCCGAATGGATCTCTTTTATCAGCCGAGAAAAACTTACGGATATTTTTTTGCAGAGACTGTGAAATAGAGTAGACATTAATACTTGAAAAATAACGGCTAATCTTTTCATCGGATCTCTTCTTCCACTACTTCTTCTTAGACTTTCTATTCATTAGAGATATCACGAGAGAGAGAGAGAGAGAGAGAGAGAGAGAGAGAGATTGCAAGTTATATAACTATACGAAAGACTCGACGACTTGAGAAAGAGGGAGAGATAACGACGACTTTGATGTATAATCGTTGCTAACTATTGGGTAGAGAAATGTATATATGATATACGAGTTATATATAAATTATATACAACTATACAATACTATGAGAGAGAGAGAGAGAGAGAGAGGACAGCAAAACAATAATCTAATGACAAAAATCATGTTTCGATCAATAATTATCCGAAGAATTGTAAGAATAGGGGAAATACTGGAGAAAAGTATTGATGCGAAACATTATAACACAAAAAACCTAATGAATCGCCGTTTTATTGTATGTGTGCTTATAATAAGCGCTCAAATCAATTGTGTTTTAACTCGTATTTATCAAACATGATGATCAATTTGATGCCAACCAATTGTATCTCTGTATATATTGGTTCGGGGTATTTATGGCCTGTCATACCGTTAGCGCTAGTGTTGCCAAATGTTTTATTCAATTGCCATCAATAGATACCTCAGTAATAGCCATAACATTCACTATAATTGGCGTAACGTATATCAAAACTTTGTTATTAATTTTTACCAACTGTTTATACGATCCATATCTCTCCCCAAAACCATCGATCACCTATCGGTTGGTCAACCCCTGTCCAGTCGGCACTGGTTGTCGTGGTATATGTCGTGCATTGTGTCCATTATAAACATCTATTTAGCAGTCATTAAATGTCTTGTTTGCTCTGACGATACATTTGTTGGTACTGTATATATGGTTTGGCTTTTGATCAGTAAAAATGCTATTCATAGCCGAGAGAGAGAGAGAGAGAGAGAGAGAGAGAGAGAGAGAGAGAGAGAGAGAGAGAGAGAGAGAGAGAGAGAGA